TTTGTAGGGGTAGAAGATTAAAAAAAATAAGGGTGGCAGGAAGGTACTAAAGAGCACTTTTCATTAGGATAAATGAAGCATGTGTTTCAGGCTCTGCCTGCTGCCATGGCAGTGAAGCAGGAATAACCCATCCCACTTTCCTGAAGGGCTTTGGTGTCTCTGCAGCACCCCAGACAATTTTGTTCTTGTTTGAATTTTGTAGTAGAAATGATGATGCAAACCCAAGCAAGCACAAGCTCTTCAAAAAAGAGCTGTGGGTATTCTCCTCCTAGGCAGCCCTAGCTGCTTGCTACTGAGAGAGGACAGGGTCCTAGAAAGCTGCAGTTGCACAGGGTGGGTGTTTCCCTGCTTTCCAGCCTTTTCTGCTCTTAGATTTCAGTTTCCTTTTTTTAATAATGTGTTGTAGTTGCTGTACCAATAAAACTGTGTTTTTCAGTGCAAAACAATCACAGCAGCCTTTCTGTGCTGCTGTGGGTTTTGCTTATGAAGACCGTGTCCTTGCCAGGCATCGGAGCCATGTCCTACGAAGGCCCAGGACATGCAGAAGTTGAGTAGCAAAAGAGGTTCTTCACGCTCCCATGAGCAAAGGTCACTATTTTCTTCATCTTCCCTAGGCTTCCCCCTTTCTCATGGCTGCCTGGTCTCCCTGTGACTGGCAGGAGGTTGTTTGGCAGTACATCACCAGGGAGATCTTTGTCCACCGAGGTCACGCTTCTCTCCAAATAGGCCAAGGTGAAAGACCATGCGCATCCTGCAAAGCGAGCCTTGCTCCAGCAGGAGCATTTGTGCTCTGTCAGGAGGTTCCTGCCCACAGGAGCATGCCCAGGGGACTGCAGCTGAGCCAGCCGGCCTTAGGGAAGCTGGGAAGCCGGCTGGCTCCTGCTTCGTAACTGGGGGAAGCAACCAGCTGCCTTTGAAGTCTGAGCCGGGCTGAGCAAGCCTGACAGCTGACTTCAAAGTCTGTTGCACCAGCTCCCCTGATTATCTGTAGGCTTCTGGCACATCCCCCAAGACTGCCAGATTATCCCTACTAATGCTGTGCTCTTCCCTGCATCCCCTTACCCTGCCTGGCACCAGACCCTTTGCTTTCAAGGCTGCAGCCTCCATCCCTCCCTGTCCTTGTCCCCCTCCCCAGTCACTGTGGATATGTGGCAATGGCATTTCTGAGCTTGGGACATGGCTCCTGAGATCTGTGAAGCAAAGGCAGAGGAGGCATTTTTGGAGAGCTTACCTGTAGCCTGCACCTCTGGACTATACCCCCCCTCCCCATTTGGTCACAAGAACAGCCTGAAATTCAGGAAGCTCTCTATGGCACCCAGTTGCTAACAACTAAGCAGGCACTGTGTGCCTTCCCTCTCCAAAAATGCCTTTGGGCAGCAGGGCTCCCCTCCAGGGCAGGTTATGCAAGCCAAAGGGTGAGGGGGCACCAGGAAGAGAGGGCTGTTTTCTCCTTGCCCCTTCAGCCTCTGCTGGGACCTTGCTGCCTCAGATTACTCTCTTGCTCTTTTGCCACCTGTGCTCCAGTATTTGGGGAGCCCCAGGGTGCTTGTCTGTGTGAGTAGAGATGCAGATGGTGAGTCATTGCTGAGGACTGGCTTGGATATGGGGCTGAGGAGATGGTAGAGCCATGGCTCTGGGCAAAGGCCACAGAGCTTGTGCTCCTCTCAGAGCAATTGGCTTTCACTTGGGATGTTGCATAGCAATGTCAAAACCTCATGGAAGATCCCTTTCTTTAACAAGCTGGGTTTTATTTCTCCCAGAGCAAGCAACCTTGGCAGCGGCTGAAAGCACTTCCTGTGCAAAGCCAGATTTGCCCAAGACATGGTTTGAGGTCTGCTTTCCTTTGAAAGGTAGGATTTGTTGGTACTTTCCAGCGGGTGGGTTTAGCTGTGGCCTCTGCTGTGTTGCGTGGAAGCCAGCAGTAAATGTGATGGCAGCAGGCAGAGGAAGCCACAGGTGCTCTAGTGTCAGGCACCCAAATGGGATGAGGGAGCTCATGGGGGCAATATGGCGAGACAGGGCATCTGACTGCAGCCTCTCCCCTGTGTTTGCCTAATTGCTTTTGGCTCTCAGCAGCCTGTTCCCCCTAAAAACCAGCACTGACCATGGGATTGCCTCCTTCATCCTCAATAGCTTTTTCTGTAGCATTTCTATCCTGCTATCGAGTGATCCTGCCTTATACCCATCCCTCCTCAGGCTCCTTGCAGTGTGCCAGGGGGCATCTGGTCAGCACTTGTCTGTCCAGGAGGTTTCCAGGTCACTGTGGATGTTGCTGATTGCTGCTGTGCTCTTCTGGGCAGAGTCTAGCTCCACCCTGGCTGCATTGGGTTTGGGGAAACTTTCCATGCTACATTTTTGGGGGTGTTTTTCTGGGAAGCTTTGGCCCAAAGTGACTGAGCAGCATCCAAAAAAAGAATGCCTGCAAAAGGGATCCAGAAGGAACAGAATGGGTAGGGGGGCATGCAATTAAAGAGGATCATCACCTGCAAGAAAGCCAAAGCCAGTGCTGTGGGCAGCCTGACCTCCAGCCTTGTGCTCTAGAGTGGGAGATGGTGGCACCCTGCTGCTTAGGTGCTGGTGGTAGCCAAGCTGTGCTAGGGCCTGCAGATCAATAGTAGTCAATTACCATTGCCCTAGTGAAGCACTTCAACTCACCAAGCCTGGTTCAGAGGAAGCAAGTCCTCTGCTCCTTGTAGGTACAGACAGGAACCCTTTGAACTGTCCAAGATGCGTATTTCCCGCTCACTTCCCATCTGATGTCATCCCCAGGAAAATAAGGTAAAGGGATCTCTCTCTCTCTATGTGTTTGGCTTCCCTGATTTTTCTAATGGCAATGTTATCTTTTGTAAAGGATTCTCTGATCCTCTTCCTTCATCCTGCTTTGTGTGTTTAATAGTCCTGCCATATGTCTGGTTGCACTGATTTCCCAGGGAGGAAGAGAGTAAGTTTTAGACTGCACAGTCCAAGGGAGCAGGAGCTGTTGGTTTTGTCTCCAGAGCATCATCACTGCCAGTGATAGGGCTGGGCCAGGCAATCCTATTCTTCCTGATTTCTCTATTGCAAATGTAAGCAGCAACTCATGCATCATTAGAGTTGCAAACTTGGAATTAAACTGTCCCCTTGTGTGTGTTTATCTGCACACTGACTGTCAGAAGCTCACTGAGGTTGAACTCCAAGTTTCCTTTCCATTTACACTGTTGCTGTAGCAGAGATGCTATTCCCTCCTCCAGAGTGGTAAGCAGGTTGGCTTTCTGTCAGCGGGATCATCCCCCGGGGTACTGCTGGCAGTTAGGTTGCTCTTGAAAAGCAAATCCCTTCATCCCTTTTCTTCTGAAACAGAAGGGTTTCATCCTGCACAGGGAATGGAAGCCTTTCACAGGGTTATAACTGTGTCCTACTTCCATAGGGTGTGGGCCCCCATCACCAGCAGAAGTGCTGGGGCACTCCACTGCTTCCCAGCCTCTGCTGTATCTGCTCACCACCTCTGAGGAGCCAGTACGTGCGTTTCTGTCCCATGTTGCACCATCTTCTCCCAGAACAAGTGCTGCTCCTCTGCTCCATTTCATTCCAGAGAGGGTAGGTGGCAGGGAACAGGTGATATCCTGCAGGGACCTCTCTGCCTCCTGCAGCAGCCGATTCCCCCAGACTGGATTTGGCTCTGGAGAGCTGCGTGGTGCTGGTGTGGAGCTGGCTAATGGAGGCACCAGCCTTGCAGTGAGGAGCCTCTATATTCTGGCTCCTCAGGCTGTCATATGAATCAGTTTATTAAACAGGGAAAGGAGGGACCTTGTGTTTGTTTTTGTTACATGAACTTCATTCCCTCTAGGAGTCCCACGGGATCAAGCAAAAGGACTTGTTTTACGGTTGGTTATTGTTTGTGAATCCCTGAGCTAATTTAGTCATTCAGTGGATACCCCAGCAGCACAGCGGGAGCAGCATGGCTCAGGGGTAAATGCTTTGTGCTGTCATCCTTTCTGGGGAAGAACAGAAAAACTAAAAAACCTACCCCACAACCGAAACAACAGCTCCAAACAAATCTGTTCAGAGAGTGTCTCTGGTTTGAGTCCCTTGCCTTAGAGGCTGCCAACAATGTGCCCCATCAGCCTCCCACCATGTCCTTGGCCCCAGGCCATGCACTGCTGATGGCACGATGCCATACAGCATCTGATACAACCACAGCACTTGCCTTTGGGGCTATGCCAGCAGCTTCCTGGCCCGTCTTCCCAGCACAGCTCCTTGTGATCTTGCCACCCCTGGAAGCAGTGCTGCTCCAGGATCCCCTGAATATGGGTGCCTACCCATGGGATATGCTTACAGGAGAGCTTTCCCAGCTGACTTCTGGTGCGTGGTTATCCTTTGAGAGTTGATAGGCTTTCTGGGCTGGGATGGCTGTTACGACAGAAGGTCTCCTGCCTGTGTAGCCAGGCTGGTGAGGGTTCTGTGGGAGAGGCACCCCACTTGGGTTGCCCACTGCACTCTGAGGCAGAGCTTGGTCAGCCATCCTTGGGGAGCACTGTGCCACCCCAACTTGTACCTATGGCATCATGCTGCTGTCTGCAGCTGTGGAAAAATAACTAGCTGTGGGGAGCTTCATCCCTAGAAATCTTCCCCTGTTCCTCACTGGGGCCTGACCCCTCACCCTCTCTGTTAGCCAGGAGTGAGCTGTTTCATGGAACAAAGTGGAAGTCATGAGGCAGAAGGTTAGCCTGTGAGCTGCTGTCCAAAGGCAAAGCCACTGGGCACCAGGCAGCAACAGCCTCGGGCATCAATCACCCTTGCAGCATGGGGCTGGGGTGCTCAGTGTCACCTCCCACAGGCATGTTACGTTGCACCCAGCTTCCCAACTGGGTGCAACGACATTTTTGACAGAGGAACAGAGGAAACCATCACCACAAGGCAGCTTTCTCCTAGATACTTTCAAAATAGAAGAGTTGCTGTCACCACTGTGTGAGAGCCTTCCGCCGCCTCTCTGGGAGCAGACACAAGCAGAGCTGTTTTCCATGGGGCTGGGGCAGTGCCTGCCAGCTGCCTTCCTCCTCCTGGGTGAGTGTCCTGCCTAGTGGTGGTGGCGGCTTTCCTGGGGTAGGGGGGGGATATAAAGCACCCCCTCAGTACAGATGAGACATTTGCAGGTGGGTGGCTCAGCCAGCACTGCTCTGACTCCATGGTCATGGGAAGAGCTGCAGTGGCATGGTCTGCTTTCGGCAGTGTGCTTTCACTGCAAAGCAATAGCCTGGACCCTCCCGGGGGTTTGGTGAGGGGACATGAGCACCCCTGTTGTGTGGCTATGGGGAGCATGGAGGGGGCTACTTCATCTCCCCTTCCCTTGGGAGGGGGTTTCTGAGGGTTCCTTAGGCTGTGCTGCCACCAACTCTCTTCCCTGAGCTGGTCTCTGTGGCTGGTTTTTGACTCAGTGCCCACATCCAGTGGGCGTTTTGCTTGGTGTGCCTGTTGGGCATTGAAACAGAGCAATTGTCACCACTGGGAGCTCTGCAGGAGGGGAGGGTGCATGGGTGGCCATCACCAAAGCCTCTTCAGGCAGAAACAGAGGGGAGCCCTTAGGTTCTCCTGGTGCCCTCTGCCTTGCTGGCCCCATCTCCCGCATCCTCCCTGGTTTCTGTCCATGGAGCACCTCTGCAGCACCCAGCCTGCCGGTTCCCTCTGCTACACACATCCCTTGGCTTCTGCATTGCATCTCCTTCCCTTGCAGTGGACAGCTTTGGCAACTGCTCCCTTATTCCCCCTGCTGTGCAGGACCTGAGTGCTTGGCCTTCTGAATTGTAACACTCCACAAGCTTCTTCCAGTGGTCTCTACCTGGTTGCTGGCTAAGAGATGCTCTCCTGCCACAAGCAGGCTTGATAACCTTCCAGCCGTAGTGATCTGATCTGTCATTTGAATTCCAGTGTGGTAGAGACAGGAAAGTTTAGAGGTCTGTTGTAACAGGACTTGTTCTTGCAGTCGCAAGGGGTGTGACGTCCCTTGGACTTCATGCTTCAAAGAATGAGATTGCGCAGCAATTCTTTTTAGTTGTGATCTCTTGCACGTCCAGACCCACTACTGTTTTGAGTGTGCAGCCCTTGGGCAGCACATACCCTTGCGGTGTGATGACTGTTTGCCAGCTGGCTTGAGCGCTGGCCAGCAGCTGGTGACTGTTAAGAAGGGGCCCTTCTACCTCATTAGGGTTCCCACATCACGCTGTGGTGCAAGGTGAGCGGCTACCAGGGCCCGTCGGAGCAGAACTTCCAGTGGTCCATCTACCTGCCCTCGGCCCCTGAGCGGGAGGTGCAGATCGTCAGCACCGTCGACCCATCCTTCCCCTACGCCATCTACACCCAACGCGTGCGCAGCCGTGGGATCTACGTGGAGCGGGTGCAGGGGGACGCCGTCCTGCTGCACATCACCGACCTGCAGGACCGGGATGCTGGCGAGTACGAGTGCCACACGCCCAACACTGACGAGAGGTACTTTGGGAGTTACAGCGCCAAGATGAACCTCCCAGGTGGGTCCTGAAAGAGAGCCCTGCTTGCTGCTGGGCAGGGGCACAGTCAGGTTTCCACTGCCTCCAAGAGCACAAGAAGTGCTCATCTCTGGGTCTCTGACAGAGGGGCAGCTGGGAAAAGGGGTGGTTAATGGGACCAGGGGACAAAAATTTTATTACTCTTCCCCCTGTGGGATTGCTGCTAACTGCTGGGCATACCCCTGGTCATGTCCCCTTGCAGGTTGCTCTGGCCTTTGCCTCCCAGCCAGGGCAAGGGGAAGAGAGAGGAAGCCTCTGCTGTCCCATGGCCCGACATTTAACTTCAGCTCCTGACTCAGCCACAGCATTTCTCAGCTAAGCACTTAAGAAGACAGAAGTTTTCAGGCTCAGTACGTTAGCTGTTGATGTACTCTCAGGTCAGGGTGTAGGACTTGACCCAAGCATGATACCCACATATGGAGGGAAGCAGCAGGGAAAGGGGAAGGTAACAGGGGGGAGAGGCAAAGGGAAAGGCTCTACTGTGAGCCCATGGAGTTACATGATGGTATGGTCACAATGAGAACAATCAGCCATTGGAATAATCTCCCCATGAAAGTGATGGACTCCACAGTGTTGAAAGTTTCTAATATTCAGCTGGACAGGGTGCTGGGACATCTCATCTAGGTCATGCTTTGCCTGAAAGGCTGGTCCAGATGATCCTTGAGGTCTTGTTCTGGGTTCAGCAGTAGCAGTCATTTTTAGTCCTTCTTAGTAGTTGGTGTGGTGCTGTGTTTTTGACTTCCGGCCTGGGAACAGTGCTGATAGCACCGATGTTTTTAGTTACTGCTCAAACGTTCAAGGACATTCTGAGTCTCATGCTCTGCCGGGGAGCAGGGGAAGCTGGGAGGAAGCAGAGACAGGACACCTGACACAAACTAGCCAAAGAGGTATTCCATACCACAGCATGTCATGCCCACTATATAAACTGGGGGCAGTTACCCAGAAGGGCTAGATCACTGCCGGGGTCAGGCTGAGTATTATCAGTCAGTGGGTGGTGAGCGATTGTATTCTCTTCCCTTGTTATTTTCCCTTATCATCATTATTATTGTTGGTGGCAGCAGCAGTGGTTTTGTGTTATACCTCAGTTACTGGACTGTTCTTTTCTCAACCTGTGGGAGTTACATTCTTTTGATTCTCCTCCCCATCCCTCTGGGAGCAGGGAAAGGAAGGGGGTGGGGGGAGTGAGAGAGCAACTGCGTGATTTACAGCTGAGCTTAAACCACGACAGGCCCAATGTGGGGCACAAAGGGTTGAGATAACGACAGATCTGACCAGAGTGTGTCTAATCATGTTCATGAAAAGCATTAAGTGTTTCTGATTAATAGTCACTCGTCACAAAGCTGATTTATTGGCTCTCAAAGTTGTTGCTCTTGATCTCACAGTTTCAGCATGTCGTACCTTACTTACAGCCGGTATTTGCTGTGTTAGTATTTATTGGCTGGGGACCTTGGGCTAAGGTTCTTGTCTCACTGTGCTTTATGGCAATGACTTGTAATATGGGTGGGCTCCAGCAGCAGGGCGGGACGGACGTGGCCGTGGACTCTTGTACCTGGCCGTCCGGCTGCTATTCACCGTCCTGGCCCCCATCCTCTCCTCTGTCTTTGTGAGGCTGCAAGGAGCTGAGGGGGAGCGGCCCCGGGAGCCAGCGGTGGCCAAAGCGGCCCGGGAGAGCGGCCCCAGGGACCAGGAGGCTGGGAGGGGGCAGCTGCCAGTGGAGGAGGTCAGGGAGGTTGAGAAGGGGAAGGTGGCAGCTGCCGAGCAGCGGGAGGAGGCAGCGGAGGAGCTGAGCCCTGCAGCTGAGCCCAGCCCCGTGGCAGCTGAGAGCATCCCCCAGCAACCACCTGCTGAGCCCCACAAGTCCGAGCCCCAGGAGGATGCAGAGAGCAAGGTACCACCTTTGGACCTGCCTCAGCTGAGTCCAGCCTCGGGCACCCGGGACAAGTGGAGGATGCAGGAGACCATGCAGCCTTTCCCAGCAAGGCAGAGGAGGAAGATCTGGACTCGGAAAAAGAGAAGCTGGTGGTGGGAGAGCCGGCAAGCACAGCAGCTACACCAGCCCCAGTGACAAGTACAGCAGCATCGTTAGAGAGTTCTGAAGGTTTTGAATGGCCTTTGGCTACCCCTGGGACCTGCCTGCTGATTGTGATGGGGATCAGCATGTTGATACAGTGTGTTTTACCCATGACCATTTTGTCTGATCTCGGAAGTTAAGCAGAGTTGGGTTTGGGTCTTGTCTAGGGTTAGACGATGATATAGGAGGACTGTCGTGGTTTAAACCTAGCCAGACAGCTTGTTCACTCACTCCCAGTGATTGGTGTCAGGCTGGAAGCAATTGAGGCCCGCGTCCCCCCCCCGCCAGGGACTCTCCCCTTCCCCGCTCCCAGAGGGATGGGGAGGAGAATCAAAAGAATGCAACTCCCACGGGTTGAGACAAGAACAGTCCAACAAGCAGTGTACAACACAAGTCACCACCGCTACCGCCAACAACAACGATAAGAGAAAATAAACAAGGTTTAAACCACGACACAAGGGAAGAGAATATGATACCACCCGCCGAAAATCAAGTCCCACCCAGAAGACCCCATGTTTTTCCGGGTAACTCCCAGTTACCCCCCCGGGCATGATGTGCTGTGGTATGGAATACCTCTTTGGTCCGTTTGGGTCAGGTGTCCTGTCTGTGCTTCCTCCTGGCTTCCCCTCCTCCCTGGCAGAGCATGAGCCTCACAAAGTCCTTGGTCAGGGTAAACATTACTGAGCAACAACTGAAAACATCGGTGTTAATCAGCACTGTTCCCAGGCTGGAAGTCAAAACACAACGCTGCACCAGCTACCAAGAAGGAGAAAAACTGACTGCTACCACTGAACCCAGGACAGAGGACCAAGAGGTTTTCCCCAAGGCTGGACAGTCATAAGTGGCAGGGTGTGTGGGACAGTACGGGTGAGTATCTAGTCCACGGGGCCCCTCCCATGCTTTGGAAGCATTGGAGATGGAAGGCAGATGTATGGAGTCCCAATCAACAAGCTGCAGAAACTGCTGAAGGGGAGGGTGAATTATTTTGAACCTGGTGGGCCCATGACACTTCAGGCCATCGCAGCAGAGATGCAACATAGAGACGGAATCATGATCAAGGGGTGGACTTGGTAACGGACACTATTGCCCAGGTTATTCACGAATGTGAACACTGCACACAGCCTTTCCTGCTCTGAAAGATTGTTACAAGAGATGGAGCCTGACATCATGGACCAGATGGACTCAGCAGCTTTATAGGGATTGGTCCATGCCCTAAGATAAGAGTGCACTGAGATAAGAATGATGGTATATTGAAAATGTGGGATCTGAGCATGATGTAAATGGTATGGAATAAGGGGTAGGTACTGTCCTGGGTTCAGCAGTAGCAGTTATTTTTTCTCCTTCTTGGTAGCTGGTGCAGTGCTGTGTTTTTGACTTTTGGCCTGGGAACAGTGCTGATACCACCAATGTTTTTAGTTACTGCTCAAATGTTTGGTCTGGCCAAGGACTTTGTGAGCCTCATGCTCTGCCAGGGAGGAGGGGAAGCCAGGAGGAAGCAGAGACAGGACACCTGACCCAAACTGACCAAAGAGGTATTCCATACCACAGCACGTCATGCCCAGGATGTAACTGAGAGTTACCCGGGAGGCCTAGGGGACTGCGGGGTTGGAGGAGGTATCGGTCGGTGCTTCGTCGTGCTGCGGGGGCGAGTTATCAGTTGGCAGGTGGTGAGGTGTTGTATTCTCTTTCCTTGTTATTTCTGTTACCATTATTATTGGTGTTAGCAGCAGTGATTTGTGTTACACCTCAGTTACTGGACTGTTCTTATCTCAACCCATGGGAGTTACATTCTTACGATTCTCCTCCTTATCCCTCAGGGAGCAGGGGAAGGAAGGGGGTGGGGGGAGTGAGAGAGCGACTGCGTGATTTACGGCTGAGCTTAAACCATGACAGGTCTCTTCCAACCCGGTATTCTTTGATGCTATAGTAGTAATTCCCCTTGGTATTCATCCCTGTATTCTCTTTATGCTAGTGGTGTACCAGTCTGCACTTGGGATTGTGAGGGGCTGGATGTTAATCTCTTTGGGGTTGCCTAATTAGTACTGGTCATAGTTTGACTAAAGAGGGTACTGCAAAGAGCTTCATTGTGCTTTCTTGCTTGCTGAGATTTTAAGCACTTCACACACCTTTGCATCAGCTGATGAAAGCCTTGTCAATCAACTACGAAAGATATTTCTCCTATGCTGTCAGATTCATAGAATCATAGAATAGGGTTGGAAAGGACCTGAAGATCATCAAGTTCCAACCCCCCCTGCCATGGGCAGGGACACCTCACACTAAACCATATCACCCAAGGCCTCTTCCAACCTGGTCTTGAACACTGCCAGGGACAGAGCATTCACAACTTCCTTGGGCAACCCATTCCAGAGCCTCACCACCCTAACAGGAAAGAATTTCCTCCTTATATCCAATCTAAACTTCCCCTGTTTAAGTTTTAACCCATTACCCCTTGTCCTGTCACTACAGTCCCTAATGAAGAGTCCCTCCCCAGCATCCCTATAGGCCCCCTTCAGATACTGGAAGGCTGCCATGAGGTCTCCACGCAGCCTTCTCTTCTCCAGGCTGAGCAGCCCCAACTTTGTCAGCCTATCTTCATACAGGAGGTGCTCCAGTCCCCTGATCATCCTCGTGGCCCTTCTCTGGACTTGTTCCAACAGTTCCATGTCGTTTTTATGTTGAGGACAGCAGAACTTCACACAATACTCCAGGTGAGGTCTCACAAGAGCAGAGTAAAGGGGCAGGATCACCTCCTTCGACCTGCTGGTCACGCTCCTTTTGATGCAGCCCAGACTGATTCATTAGGGCTTGACCACAGTTTTGTAGTGTCTGGCACGTTGCCCATTGAGGCCCAGAGACAATTTTCCCTCTGACCATCTGCTCTCTGTTTCTTCCCCATGCTCAGTGATTGCAGACACCCTCTGTGCTTCCCTGGCACCGCAGGTCCTCACCTGCACCGAAGGGGATGAGGTGGAGCTCACCTGAGAGGTGTCCAAGCTCACTGCCCAACACACATCTCTCTATTGGTTGGTACCATCTTCATGGAGCAGGAGAGCACTGCTCTGAGGAGGTCCTCACCCTCTCCAAGGACTTTATCTTGAAGCCAGGGCCCTCTTACATGCAGAGGGCTCTGGTGGGAAACGTGCAGCTGAATAAGATTGGGAGCACCACATACAAGCTCTCCATTGAAGGAGCGGAGCTGTCTGACCAAGGGCAACTGTATTGCGAGAAAGCTGAGTGGATTGAGGATCCTGATGGGATGTGGAAGGATATCTGGGAGGACATTGCTGGTGATCATGAGCCAGGGTAAGGTCCTTGTAAGCTCACATGTTCATTCCAACTCCTTTGTGGATTTAAGGCTCTATAGCAGTAGCCTTGTCTGTTCATGCTGTCACCAGTCTGCTGGCTTTCAGAGAAACTGGTGTTGCTGTTTATTAGACCATCTATGTGTCCCTTCCTAGTAGTTCACATATGGTAGTAATGGAACTGTGGGTCAGACTGTGCTTTGAAGAAGGTGCACCTAACTCCTGTCTTATGCTTTAGGAAAATGTAATATGAAGTATTTAGAAGGAGGAGACTTAGACTTGCTACCGTGTGTAAGGTGGATTAAAATAGGAAAGCTTAAAACCAGCCTTTTGCAAGTGCTGCCTGTCCTCCCAAACACCAGTCTTTGCCAGGCACCTCATGTTCCCTCTGCCCAGCAGCTTCCCATGGCTCTGGTTCCATGGTTCTGGGCAACCTCATCTAGTTGAAGATGTCCCTGCTCACTGCAGGGTGGTTGGACTGGATGAGTTTTGAAGGTCCCTTCCAAACCAAACTATCCTATGACTCTATGGCTCCTGGCATCTCCAGATTCTGTGCTGCATCTCCCAGGGCCAATAAGAAAATCCCTCTCTCCCCACTGCCCTGGGATGGTTACAGTGTGTTCGCTGCCACTCATCTGAACACATGCCTTTTGCTGGCTGCAGTTGTTTCCCTGCTCTTCCCTCAGCTGTGGGTGTGTAGCTGTGCCCAGTTGAAGGGAAAAACTCCCTTTCTCACAAGTAAGTTTTACCTTAAAGCAGCCAAGACAAGTCTGCATCTAGTTGACACCCTTTAACATATGCAGTAAAACGGGAGCAAGTCTTTCACTGAAAACCTGTCTGGGGATGTGGTGTACCCTGTTCTCATGCCTCAGGGAAGATGAAGGAGGCTGCAGAGCTGGGGCAAGGAGGGAAACCAGTGTTTCATGGTAGGGTGCAGAGCAGGAAACCAAAGAAAGGGAAGGACCAAGCATCCTGTCTGTGACTCAGGAAGGCAAGGTACTGAGGGAGGGAAGCAAAGTGCAGTCTCACACTGTCAACAGTCTGGTTCCTAAAACCTGGCACAGCTTTATTCCCCTTATTACACACTGTTTGCAGCAATGGCTTTCCACATCTGCTGCTGCCTGGAGAGCAATAGCAATCAGTGTGCTTTCCTGCATCCATCTGCTTATTCAAGAGGGTTCATCATGACCAGTGTGGCTTTGGGTACCAGTGCCACAGGATTGTTTAGAAGTAGAGAAACCTTGTCAGAGTTTACTGTTTGCCCTGTGGTAGCTGTTAAGGGTATAAGGCAGGCGATAGTGGGAAGAGGACAACATGGCGGTTGTATTAGAGCTGCTGGTATTGCTGGGGGGTAAATAGCAACGGACGTATGAGCCTTCCATCCTGTCAGCATGGTCCCATGGGAGAGGCCAGCCTGCAGGGCTGAGCATCCCACCACAGCGGCAGCCAGTGACCACTCTGACCATGGCTAACCACTCCACTGGTTTCTATAAACTTTCCAACAAATATTTGGGAATGCAAAACACATCTGCAGTGGCTGGGATTCCTGTTTGCAAACTGTTTATGAACCAGTGTTTAAATTCACAGGGTACTCTGCTTTCAATAAATTACTCAAGCCCTTCCAGTGGCACTCTGGGAGCTGCTCTGTTTTACCTCCAAGCTACAGCACATAGCCTTGCCCTTGTTAGACATGGGGGACCCTACAGTGACCCAAGGAGATGGAGTGTTGTGGACCAAACTGCCTGCCCATGGAGTCTGAGCTCAGCCCTACCCCTGTTTTTGGCTGTGCCACTGCTGTGTGGGGTCATGGCACAAGGTTTTGGGGCACCCTGTGGGTCTCTGCCTGCATCCACTCCTCAGCCAGACCAGTGCCGGGAACCAGAGCGCATTAGTGGCAGAGGCTTTGAGGCCCTCATAGGACCCAGAGACTGGGTCTTTACTTCAGGTGGAGCTGACTGACCAAGAGGGTCTGCCAAGGAGAAGGTGGCTTTGTGCTCCCCATGGTGCTACCCTCTTTGCTCAACGTCTGCTGCTTGTCAGCATGAGGGACAGGGCAGGAACCTAGGAGATGATCTCCACCTCCTCTTGCTTTCCTCCAACTTCCGCGTGCTGTTACAAATCTTGATATTTCTGCTTCCTGTGGAACTACCCCAAAACTTCTCTATCTTGGGGAGCATCTGTTGCCCACATCCTGCAGCAGCCAGTGAGGGCTGCAGCGTGTGGGACCACCAGCATCAGATTCAGACAAGCAACTTGAGTGCCAGACCTCCACTCACCTTTTCTACAGACAGCAGAATTAAAAACACCACTGAGTGGTAAAGCCCCTCTGTGCCCCTTTCCGGCTTAAGGGATATTTGTCACATGAAACAGAAGAGCTCCAGGAAGTGAGACAGAGCAGCTCCCCCCAAAAAAAATGATGCCTCTGGGTTAGGATGCCTGAGCTGAGCCAGGGGTGGCTGTGGCCCAAGGCCATCTTGGGGGGTGCTCTGCTGTAAAGAGGGGAGCTTAGCTCCACTGGACTGTGGTGCCTCCTCCACCTGAGATTGCTGGTTAGTGCCTGGCAGCTGTCTCTCCATGGGCAAAGTTTTCCATCCTGATGACTTTTCTTATGAAAACTGTTTCAGCAGAGAATTCCCTCACATTTCCCTCTGCGCAGCCATCAGTGCTGCCAGGCAGGAGAAAAGCATGAGCAGGGCCACCTAGCACACTCTTTGCTTTTGACTACCCACAGCTAGAAACATCTCCATGGACGTTGCTGTTGCTGAAAACTCCCTTTCTGAAGGTGATGCCTTGCAGATAAATTGCTTGGTGGGATCTGAGAAGAGCAACAGCAGGCACTTTCAAGTGCTTTGACTCCTCAACAGCATGGAAGTGGCCAAGGCTGACCACCATGGGGTATTGTCTTTGGAGGCAGAATATGAGGAGAGAGAGAGAAGCTGGGGCAGCTCCAAGCATTCAAGCAAAGCAATATGGTTTATGTCCTCACTGTCTATGAGGTGGGGCTGAAGGACAATGGGACATACTGCTGCTCTGTTTCGGAGGTGAAGACTCCTGGAGACTTTCACAGCATCCACACTGTTCTGTCATCAGGCACCCAAGTGAATGTGAAGCAGAGAGGTTGGTAAATCCTAGTGGCTGCTCTTCTGGGTAAAGCCTGCAATAATCCCTGACTAGGGAACACTTCAAGTCTGGCCTTACCTTGGTAGGGGCAACACACATGCTGTTTACAGCAAAATCGCAAATGTGCCATAGGTTTTGGTAGATAATAGTGTAAAAAGCACTTGCTTCTGGCAAACATTAGCATGACAAATGCTGCAGCTCTCAATAAAGTGTAAATCTACAGCTTAGGCTCTTTGCAATGTTTTGGGGCAAATAGGTACAGATTTTTGAGGAGGTTTGGTCTCCCTGTGTCTTTGGAAAATTGTGAGCAATGCCTGTTGCTGTTCTGAGGATCATGGGATGGACCCAGCAGAGCAGGTACTTCTGGATGAGGGGAATCGTTGCTATTTCCATCAGGGTGATTTCATGGTTTTGGAGGGATTGCTTGTAAGAAACCACTCTGAGAGATGTGCAGGAGACTCTTGGTTTTCTTGTCATAGCTGTATGATGACAATTCTAACGTATCAGGAGATGCCTGTTGAGACTATTTCATAAACATTTCTTTATGTATCCGTGTCCCAAGAAAGGCACTCCTTTCTGTTTCTATTATCGAGATTTATCTAGTCTCTCCATTTAATGCTGCAGTATCTCTGGCTTTCTCTGAGGAGCACAACAACTTCCCCTCCAAGTTGGTAACTGTTATTTGCAGAGAGCCAATTGTGCCTGTCCATGTCCACTAGCACGCTGCAGGTCATGGCAGGAGGTGCCCTGATCCTGCTTTGTGAGGTGCAAGGAACCATCAGCCCTATGTTAGTGTAGTGGGGTGTCTGCCACTGCAGCACCCAGGTCCTTGGTTGCTGGTGACCACCATGGAGCAAGATGGCACCCTGAGCCTGGGCAGCACCTACCAGGACAGCAGGATTCGGGGGAGCCTCCGGCTGGAGAAAGCAAACTCTGGTGCCTTCACCCTGGTGATCCCCAGCATGTTAGATGAGGATGACGGCGGGCAGTATGGCTGTTAAGTGACAGTAGTCCTGAAGCCAGAGCTGGATAAAGGAGAGGGAGACAGCAGTGTCAGCTCCATGGGAGGGTTAGGCCACTCCTATTTCTGGGCTTTCAAGCTGTATGTGCTGGAGGCAAGGCTGGAGAAGCGGGTGGACAGAAGTCTGCTGTGCTCTAAGCTCCACTGCTGCTGTTGCAGGATGACCTGGGGCTGATCACTTGGCCCTGGCATGCTTCAATTACCCCCATTTCTAGCAGAGTGCTTAAGTCCTCCATGTGACATGTTTTCAGAAGGACAACTGGGACAGAACAGCTAAAATGCAGAGACCTCAAAGACAATGGCTTGCTCAGGAGGTCTTTCTGACTGTCCCTTAGCTTAAAATACAAAATATCTGTTCTAGCAGCATAATTACTTCTAGTAGTTAAGCTCAACAAATGCACTTGCTGTGTCATATGGTGGCCTTTGTCAGAGAGACACCCCTGGTGCAGTCATCGCATTTCTTCTCCTGCCCTCCTGTCTGTGCACAGAGCTGCTAACCTCCCTGCATGCTAACCTCCCTGGCATACAATGCCCACAGCGTTTCTTTTGATTGCTGGAATGTGTGCCTTTATGGAGAGGCAGCTTTTGGCTGTGATTTAGGGTGGTTTTCCTTTCTTATTGCTGGGCTGCACTTCCAAGCGCACTGGTTGGTCCAAACAGGGCAGCAGCATCAGCAGAGGATCCCTGGCTCCCTCTTGCAGGATGGGACTGGGGAGCCTGGAAGAGAGGGTACTCAGGGTTACCCGGGTTGTGGGAGAGCAGGGGGTGAGGCAGGAGAGAGGGAGGGTCGGTGTGGGGCTGGAAGAACACAGGACAACCCATGGGACAGTGGCACTGGCAGAGGAGCAGCAGGAGTGCTGGCTGCCATGGGGCTGAGGTGGCTGTGGCAGTGGGGATGTCCTGCATAGGAAGGGGGGTGACATGGGGCAGGATTTCTGTCGTGGTGCCAAAGGCTCTCTCTTCCCGAGTAGGTCTTGGTCTGTACGCCATGCTGAGAAGCCGAACCGTCACTGTCAGATATGGGCAGAGTTTTGAACTCATCTGCCAAGTGAGCACTAACTATACCCTTAGGGAGGTGCCAGTGTCTGTGAGGTGGTTCTTCCAGCCCAGCCGGTCCGGGGGCCACTATCAGTAGCTGGACCACAGCACCATGGCCTGTGGGACTGTGCAGCCACACTTCCAGGGGAAAGCTCTGTTGATGAAGGCTGACATCTCCTTCAGGCTGCCCATCCACAGTGCCAACAGGTCATACCTGTGTGAGGTGGAGGTCTGGAGGAAGAACACCCTGCTGTTGGGGCCACCAGCAGCCCCCACCAAGTCCAATCCTGTGGGAATAAAGGTGATGCTGCCAGGTAAGCAGTGCCTCAGGTGCTTCTTCAGCAGAGGTCTCCTCTTCTGCAACTTCAAATCCATCAAACATGATTGGGGCATCTAGGACCAGTGATGGCTGGGGTGTCCCTAGCAGAGTCACCTCCCAGGGCTGCAAAAGACGGTGCTGCCTGTCCTGTTTCTTCCTCAGCACCCACAGCTCCTGACAATACTCTTTGTGGCGAATTTGGTGTTGGGGAGTGAAAATGCCTATTTATTTGCAGATTATGCCAAGTATAAAGGGCCCTCCAGCCCACCCTCCCTGTGCTTGCTCCCTGCTGCATGGTGTCAGCTTGCTGTGCTCACGGATGGGGCTGGTGGAGGAACTGGAGGTATCCCAGCCAAAGCCTCTAAGCCTGTGGAGGCGGGTGTGAGAACATGTGTTTGGGTTTTATTCCCCTCTTGTCTGTTCTGCCAGCAAAGGAGAATTGTTGCTCATTTTTTTTGTGCGTTAAGTGCTCCTTCCTCTAATCCTTGGATTTTCAGAATTGCAACCCAGTGAACTGAAATTATGTATTTTCTGTGGGTTTTTTGTTTTGTTTTGTTTTGTTTTTTTACAATTCATGGATTTGCGGTATCATAAGCTGGTAACATTTCCTTCCCTTTTCAGGTTTGTTTCCATGGTGCTCTCCCTCCTGCTCCACTGCTGCTCTTTCCTTGCCCTTGCAGAGCTGGATGCTGGGACGCTCTGTGTTACACCTGAGCTACAGCCACCCAGGGCCAGGAGGTCTGTGGGGTGTACTGAGGCTGGGGGTGACAACAGATAGTGCCTGTGAGTGCATGTTAGTGGTTAAACGGCACTAAAGATAAGCAGGTGTAATTGTAGAGCATCTGCACAGAGGAGACAGTAGCAGCAGAGATACTACATTTGGCTCCAAAGGTATCGCAGCTGCAATGCCGTTAAAGATATTGATAACTGGGAGGGCACAATGCACAGTGGGAGGTGGCTGCTGGCTCTAGTGCTGTCTCAGGCAGCATGAGCCAGCAAAGGAAACTTAGGAAGGGAGAGAAGTAATTCTGGGAAGGAGGCCGGCTCTAGAAGCAATGGGATGAGGCACAGCCATGTCCACAGTCTCTTCCCCCAGCTCCAGCAGTGAGAGACTCTCAGTTAATTAAATAGAAATGGAAAGCATGTCTTTCTGTCCCAAAGCAACATGGAGGCAGCTGCTTTGCCCTTTTTGGTAATTGATCTTTAGTGGTAGCAAGAGGAGAGCTGGGGGTGAAACAAAGCTAGATTCATGGCAAGTACTCTGCTTCCTCTTGAGGTGATCTCTGAGAATGTAACAGCAATTTTCCTCATCAAAGTCAAGTGCTTACCCCAGCAGTTCCTGTGGCTTCTCTCTGAGCTCTAGTAGCTTTTGCTTCTCAACTATTTTCTGTCTCTGCGGGTGTCAGGACAGGCCATACTCAAGCCACAGTGTCAGCCCTCCCTTTTGTGTCCCTGAATAAAGCTCCTGGCCATCAGGAGGCTGCTGTGTTATATTCCTCTGTACTGAGCAGCTGAAGTTAAGAGCCAAATCTCTTGCTTTTCCCAGTGTGATCAGCTCACCTGTCAGAGAAACACGGTGGCTGAGGTTGGCAGGGACATCTGGAGGTCATCTGCTCCAAGGCCCCTGTTGAAGCAAGGCCACCTAGAGTAGGCTGCCCAGGACTATGCCCAGTGTCCCTCTCTGGTGTTTTGTGCTTCCTTAGAGCTGGCTGTGGGCTGGGTATGCTTTTAAATGCTGAAGTCCAAAGATACCAACTTGCATCTGGTTCATAAGTGCACTCAAGCCTGCTTGATCACGATGTGTGTTGATCTGATTGAATTTGCATAGCTTTCTAATTATGGTGATTGCTTTCCCATCTTTTCTGCTTTTTGCCCTTACTTGTTTCTTCAGAGCAGCAAATGTGCGCTGTGAAACACAGGGCAGCACTTTGCTGATCCCTTGGGAGTGGCAATCTCCTAGACATCCCAGTGGACGTCTCTGCTGAAGTGAGGTAGTAAGCAGGTACTGGGGCTTGTGCAAGTCCCATTGTGGAAGAAACTGTCAACCTTTTGGTGAAAAAGTGTGTATGCAGTGTGGAGAGAAGAGGGAGGAAGAGCAATAGGGTGCAAAGAGAAATGAGCAACATAAGTGGATGTGAGCAGGGAGGTTTTGTTGGCAGACAGGGTGTCAGGAGTCATCAGTTGGGATATTTTGCATTGACCAGTCTCAAGAAAGAGACTGATGGTCTCTGAAGTGGATTGCACAAGTTTTGAGAAGAAATGCTTGAAGAAAGGGGACATGAGTGGACTTTATTCTGTGGTGTCTCCCTTCCCCACCAGTCCCTGTAGGAGAAGCCACAGCTCCCTCCTGGTCCACAGTCCCTCTCCATAACCTGCTGCCATCACATCCCTTGGGGAAGTGCTGCAGAGAAGAGCACCCTACTGAGCCTGTGGCTGAGGGCAGGGGCTGAGATGCTCTGCAGGGACATCTCAGTGTGTGTACTTGAACTGGCACCCAGGAAATGAGCTTAAGAGAGCTTGGCTGCCCCTGTCCTCCATGGCACAGGGCATCCTGCTGCTCAGCTGGTAGAAAGGAAAATGTAAGAATGGAAACTCAGCCTATGTTCACTTAAAATCCTGATGGTGTCTCATGCCAAGTCATTTCTATTTACCCACAGGTAGATACCTGTGTGTACCTCTTCCCCTGACTGCTGGCCTCATCTGGCAGAGGTGGTATCTCAGCTGAGGAGAAACAGGTAGCTGGAGGCCCTTTGAAGAGACTGGTTCACAGCCTTTCTGTTGCTGGAGGAGTAGGAAAGGTGTTAGCAAGAGGTGGTGTGCAGCTGGAAGGGGGTCTCAAACCAGGAGCAGCCATGTACCCTGCTAGGGGGGCAGAGCTGCAGGCAGCACCACAGCTCTCCTCTCCTGATGTGTTCACTGCTAAATTGAATAATTGCTGGGTGTAATCACGACGGATGTTCAGGACTGTGTTGTGTGGGTTTGGGTTTGGGTTAGTAACCACAGCAAAGATCTGAGATGGCAACTGTTCGTGAAACCCACTCAGGCTCTGCAGTCTCTCTGAGCTAAGACATTTATTCACAGCCTCCAAAGTGATGTGCTGTTTTTGTCACTTATGTGTGACACTTATGTTCAAGCCCCTTGGTCCCCCAGGCTCCTCTGCTGCTTCCCTGTCCAGCAGCACCCAGGTGATTCCCTGCCACAGTTCAAATAAGGGTGTGTGGATTTGTTCTTTCCCTCCTCCCACACACCCAGTTACAGCATCCCTTATTGGGTCTTTGTCCTCTTAGCACCCTCTTTCTCCCTTCTCTTTCAGTGGGCCTCTCAGGCCAGCCTTCCTCTCCAGCATCTTCTTATTGGCAGCTGCAGCCAGCATGATGATTTTGTTTCTCCATTTTAGAAAGCAAGCTTTGGGTGGTGTCATGGTTTAAACCCTAACCAGGCAGCTTGCTCACTCACTCCCAGTGAGTGGTGCCGGGCTGAGAGCAATAGAGGCCCCCCCCCCTGCCCCCTGGGGCTCTCCCCTTCCTCGCTCCCAGAGGAACAGGGAGGAGGATCGAAAGAGTGCAACTCCCACGGGTTGAGACAAGAACAGTCCAACAACCAATGTACACAAAGCACCGCTGCTACCGCTACTACCAACGACAACAATGATGAGAGAGAATAACAAGGGAAGAGAATACGATACCACCGGCCAAGAAATGAGTCCCACCCGGAAGCCCGTGTCCTTCCGGGTAACTCCCAGTTACCCCCCACCCCGGGCATGACGTGCTGTGGTATGGAATACCTCTTTGGCTAGCCTGGGTCAGGTGTCCTGTCTCTGCTTCCTCACGGCTTCCCCTCCTCCCTGGCACAGCATGAGCCTCACAAAGTCCTTGGTCAGGGTAAACATCACTTAGCAACAACCGAAAACATCAGCTTCACCAACACTGTTCCCAGGCTGGAAGTCAAAACACAGCACTGCACCAGCTACCACAAAGGAGAAAAATGACTGCTACTGCTGAACCCAGGGCAGGTGGCTACAGAAGATCACTCTGTGGAAATTGCTGGCGGTGCTGACACAGTGTCATTGTTTAAACCCTAGCCAGTTAGCTTGTTCACTCACTCCCAGTAAGTGGTGCCTGGCTGGAAGCAATCGAGACCGACTCCCCCCCCCCCCCCCCCCCCATGGGCTCTCCCCTTCCCTGCTCCCTAAGGGACAGGGAGGAGAATTGAAAGGGTGCAACTCCCATGGGTTGAGACAAGAACAGTCCAGCAACCAATGTACAACACAGATCACCACCGTTACCACCAACGACAACAATGATAAGAGAAAATAACAAGGGAAGAGAATACAATACCACCTGCCGAGAAACGAGTCTGACCCAGAAGCCCGTGTCCTTCCGGGTAACTCCCAGTTACCCCCCACCCCGGGCATGGCGTGCTGTGGTATGGAATACCTCTTTGGCTAGCTTGGGTCAGGTGTCCTGTCTCTGCTTCCCCCTGGCTTCCCCTCCTCTCTGGCAAAGCATGAGCCTCACAAAGTCCTTGGTCAGGGTAAATATTACTTAGCAACAACTGAAAACATCAGTGTTATCAGCACTGTTCCCAGGCTGAAGTCAAAACACAGCACTGCACGAGCTACCAAGAAGGAGAAAAATTGACTGCTACTGCTAAACCCAGGACACACAGCCATTGAGTACAAACTCCCAGAGGAAGCATCAGGAAGGACCACACTGGAGTTCAAGCTCCCAGGTGAGCAGAGGGTTATCCCTTGTATAAGTGCTGCTGGAGGAGGCTGGAAAAGTTTATTATGGGGCCTCCCCAAAGCTGGCAGGGCTTAGGGAAAAGCAGTGGCTCCTGCGCTGGATCTGAAACTTGGGGATGCAGGAGGCATCAGTGCCTCTTGAAGGGAAATAGGGAATTAGGGGGATTTACTACATCCTCCCAACCCAGACAAGCTGGTATTTTTGCCACTGGCAGATGCTGTCTAATGCTTCATAACAGAGTGAATCATGGCATCTTCTTTTTCCTCCAGCATGAGGTGTGCTTTGTTGGTTGTCAGTGCTCAGAATAGAGAAGAAGCCCTTTTCTGGTACTCCTGAACATCTTGAAGCCAGACATTCAGTTTTCCTTACCCTGCAGCATATTGCTGTGGGGAACAAGGCTGAAGACTCAGCTGCTCCCTCCTTCAGAGCTGCACTGCTGAGGTGCATGCTGGGTGTCCCTGCATCAGTACTTCCCTCTCTCAGCCTCACTGGGTTGCAATTCTAAATAAAGCAGATCAGAGAATTCCAGCTTCCTAAATAGCATTTTGTCTAAATGATGCCCTATCACATATTTGGAGTAGGTGGGAATTATTACAGCAGGGGGTTATGAATAGGGGGCAGAGATGATGTTGGGGGAGGGGAACACCTCATGGAGCAAGGGGTCTGTGGGTGTCCTGCAGAGGCTCTTGCCATCCCAATTCCACACACTTTATGCTAGAGGATTTCCATCAGCCTGCAGGCACAGACAGACGCATTTATATGGCAACTCAACATATCTTTCTGCTCACATCCTACTTCAGGGCAGGAGCTGCAGCTGGAGAAAACCAGCCGCATCATCTTGGCGAGGGAGGGAGAGGAGGTGACGCTGCACTGCCTGTTGCAGGGTGCCCGCCTGCCCACCACCTGCTTCTTGGCCACATGGTTTAGGGGCAATAAGAGCAGCTGCATCAGGACCCTGCTCACCCTCCACCATAATGGCTCTGTCCAGTACCCCCGGGAGAGCCTGGCAGGGAGGCTGTGCCTCCGCCACCCTGCTGCCAATGACTTCAACTTGACACTGCACAGCATGGAGCGGGGTGACACTGGGCTGTACCACTGCTGGGTACAGGAGTGGCAGCAACAGGGTGAGGGGAGGGACTGGTTTCTGCAAATCTTGGCACACTTGAAGTACATCCAGTTCGTTACCATCCTGATGGGTAATGCTGCTGGGTGGAAGGGGCTCCTCATCCCACATTAGTGATGCTGGCTGCGATGGCAAAGGTGCCGTGGGGCCAGGAAGGCTTGCTAAGGGATTGCAGAGGGGATCAGTGCTGGGGATATCACCAGAGTTATGTTGGGAGCCAGGAAGAGGAGCCCTTTGAGGGACATGTGCTATGGGCCTGGTGGGCGAGGCAGTGAGTCCCAGTGTTGATGATCTGCCAGGGCTGAAACCCAGGTGCTTGGCATTGTAAACATTGGAGGTTGTGGTTATATGGGATATGGAGGGCTCTGACTGTGAGGTATGTGGTCCAGAGGGTACCATTCAGTGCACTTATGTCTGCAGTGCTCTGTGGCTTGTGTGCTCTCTGTGAGACCATGGGCACAAACCATGTGCCATTGGGACCAGAACTCTTAACTGTTTTGGGGAAAAAATTATTTCTTGCTGGCAAGTCCGTCTCCAGTGAGGTCTCTAAAAACAGCCTTTGTCCTCTTAGGGTGAGTTGGGTGCATGACCAGTGCAACGATAGAGTTGTGTGCCTACATGTGTGTATACTTCTGCACGAGTTACCTGTACTGACCATTGTGGAAGAGCTCAGGGGACCCTTCCCTTGTGCCGGCTACTGGCACAGGCAGGCATGGAGCCTATTCACATGTGTTTGCAACTACAGCAGAGCTAATCTGGATTTAATTGCATAGGGAGGGACTGACAGTGTTTCATCCCCCTCCTGTTTTGTTCCTGCTGTTGTCCATCATGGCTCCTTCTAGCACTTGGATTTTTCTCCTTCATCAGCTCCCTCTGTCTCTTGTGATCCATTACTGGTGGAGTAACCACTGCTAAAATTGCTTCGTAACTGCTGAAAAATTCTCCTCCATTTTTGGTGTGTTTTTGACAAGTGGTTTTCATGGTTTTCACAAAATCCAGGAGAAGCTGTGGGTGCCCCATCCCTGGCATCAAGGCCAGGTTGGACAGGGCTTGGAGCAACCTGCTCTAGTAGAAGGTGTCCCTGCCCGTGGCAAGGGGTTGGAACTGGATGAGCTTTAAAGGCCCTTCTAACCTGAACCAGTCTGTGAGTCTGCGAAGATCAGCTGGGTGTTTGTTCGTTCTCTCTCTTTTTCTCTTGTGTGCATATGTGTTTCTTCAGTGATGCAGGTATCTCAAAATGCCCTTCTGGATCACAAATTCAAATGTTTGAGCAATTGCCAAGGGGCAATGACATAGTCATATGCCAGTATACCTACAACCAGGAGTAATTTCAGCTGAACAAACCAGGGCTTTATCTGACCTTCCAAAATAAGAAATTGAAGCAAATTGCATGGTTTCTCTCCCCCTTCTCCTCAGGCAGCCTATATCATAGAATCATAGAATACTTAGGGTTGGAAAGGACCTTAAGATCATCTAGTTCCAATCCCCCTGCCGTGGGCAGGGACACCTTATGCTAAATCATATCGCCCAAGGCCTTGTCCAACCTGGTCTTAAATTCTTAAAAATTGATAGGTATTGAAGATTGAGGGGAAGTGGTAAAAGAATAACCTATAGAAAAACAGAGAGAAACTCAAACTACTTGGGGCCTCACTCCTTTTTTTTTTTCTCCAGAGTCAACCATTTTGTCTAGAACCTGCTTATCCCCATCAGTGCTGAACTTCATTCTGTACTTACCACTGGTGCTGATCCTTCTCCTGGCCCTTGCTGTGTTGTGTTGGTACTTCAAGTTCAGAAGAAGCAAGAAGGGTAACATTACAGGAGACCAGCTGATGGAGCTGCAAGGGGCTGGAGGGGTTGATAAAACAAGGGTCTGCAGTGGCAGATATAATTGAAGGAGATATAATTGAAGGAGTGGAGCTGGACAGCTGAGGGGGACTGAGTACTTGCAGATGGGTTTGTTATCATTATGTAGTAGCTTTTGCAATGAATCCTTGAGATTGTGTGTTTTCTCTCAGTGGAATGAAGCAGCTTTGGATTACTGAGCATATAGGGTTTTCATAACAAGTGTTCCTCTCTCCTAGGTTAAGTACCCACCCTTTTCAGACTCTGTTCATTGTGGGGTATTTGAGGTCCTTGCAGTATGTGTCTCCCACTGTGGATGAAAGTGGTGTTATTCCTTGGCAAGTATAAAGGGAAAAACAGCTCTTTTTGCACTGTGACACCAAAGTATCTAATTGCTACTCATTTTAGGTGACTTGACAAAAATCTCTGTGGCTAGAAACTAGTGGCAGAACTAGAAACAGAGTATTGGTGTCCCAGTTTAAGGCATTACGCTTGCTTTTGCCCACCTTTTGCTGAGGACACTTTTTTTTTGCTCATTGTTTTGCTCAGACACTGCTGTCCCCTCTTTCTGAGAGTGCCTGTGCCCAAAGAGCATCTTCTCTGAAAAGAAATGGTCTTCATCACAAAACCTGTCACAGGAACCTGAGGACTGAGCAAGGCTGGCTGGGCCTGAAGAAAGTCCATAGCAGGACTACCACAAAAAATGAATCTTGTAGACCCAATACAGGACTCGTGTGAAATCTTGGATCCCAGAAGGAAGAAGTGGACGCCAAGACATCTTGGAGGTGAGTGTAAAAAGACGTCCCAGCTCCTTTGTTTGGTAGGTCTGCTGTAGGGGAAGTCCAGCCTTTCATGCCTGGACTATCTGTGAGTCAGGAAGCTGCGACCTGGTATGAAGTGCCTCCTTGTTGTACCATGTAATAAAAATGTCATGTGTTTGTGGGGCAGCTCCTCTGTGCTCCAGCATCCAGCTCAGGCTCACCTTTTCAAGGTTGAGGCATTCTCCTACCTGAAGGCTGGCTGATGCATTAGAGGAAAGAAGATTTCAATCCAGTCCCTGTAAATCAAGGGATTGTCAGCCCCTACTTGTGCAAAGTGGGAAGTTCAGGTTAGATACAAGGAAGAAGTTCTTTACTGTGAGGGTGGTGAGGCACTGGAACAGGTTGGCTGAAGAAGTGGTGAATGCCCCATCCCTGGCAGTGTTCAAAACCACGTCGGACAAAACCTTGGGTGACATGGTTTAGTGTGAGGTGTCCCTGCCCGTGGAGATGATCTGCCATGGAACTGGATGATCTTAAGGTCCTTTCCAACCCAAACCATTCTGTGATTCTGTAATTCTATAATTCTGTGTGGTCACAGCAAGTTGTAAGATCAGGCATCACGGCGACAATGCACTGTCCTCAAACGAAAGTCGCCATATAGAAAGCATGGCAGATGTTTTATGTACCTGCTTCCTCTGACCAGGGGAAGGTTGTTAAGAGATACCACTCCTTTCTAGACGATTTGCTCATATTCTTCACTTTCCTTACACTTAGAAAAGCTGCCTACCCTGTCACAGGGAACTGGGAGGTGTTTCAGTCTCCCTCTTCTTGAAAAAAGCACTTTTGGCCTAAGTTTGAAGGTGGCTGCGCTTGTTTCCCTGTTCAGCCACCTGCTTGCTCAGCCTTTCCCTGCGGGTTGTGTTTTCTGGACCTTGTGCAGCTTTTCCCTTTGCTGCCTTGACCCTGGCTGTCTCTCCTGCGGTGTGAGTTCTCAGAGCCGTACATGGGGCTCTCCACAGAGATTCCCCCCCGCCTAATGGGTTACATCCATTTACACATCCCAGTGGGATGTTTGGTTTTCTCTGTGTGTGTGACAGCATGGCACTGTTTGTGCTTGGCTCGCAGTCAGCAGGCTCTTCTCCTGCAGACTTGCTGTCTAGCAAGTTGTTTCTGCTGTGTGTTCGGGCTGTTAACTCTTCCCATCTAGTGGAAGCATCATTTGCATGGGTCTGTTGAACAGCTTTGCGCACCAGTACAGGACTAAGACAATAAGCCTTTAACTCATGGACCAGTTTCAGTCTATTTTGACAGAGAAACAGATGCTCCCAGGGCATTAAACTCTTTCAAGTTTCCTGAAAGGTGGTAGCTGGATGGTGAGGAGGCAGGCAAGTTGTCCCACGAAGGGAAGGTTGCAGTGTGAGTTAAGTCAGTTAATTCATGCAAAAGAAAAGGAAGAACTGTTTTTGACCATAAAATATTGACAATTAATCTGTGCAAATATTCAATCTACCAATTTTGTGCTGTCCCTTTGTGTTTTCATTTGAATTGTTTTCTTACCTTGCCCATAAGAGTACCTTGGGAAAATACTTCATAAACCTTGGTAATGTCAAGAACGTATGATGCCTACAGCTTACCCCTTCCCACAAGGTTTGCAGATTTCTTGGAGGGGAGAGTAGGTAGGTCTGACATGCTTTTTTCTTCTTTAAAACAAACAAAATAAAGGTTATTTTCTTTTTTTCCTTGCATTCTTCTAATATGCTTCTCAGTACTTTCTCCCTGTATTTACATGAAGATTGCGGTTAATCAGAATCACAGAATGATTTGGATTGGGAGGGACCTTAAAGCTCATCCAGTTCCAGCCCCCTGCCACAGGCAGGGACACCTTCCACTAGAGCAGGTTGCTCCAAGCCCCATCCAACCTGGCCTTGAACACTGCCAGGGATGGGGCAGCCGCAGCTTCTCTGGGCAACCTGTGCCAGTGCCTCAGCACCCTCACAGGGAAGAGCTTCTGCCTAAACTCATCTCAATCTCCCCTCTGTTAGGTTAAAGCCATTCCCCTTGTCCTCTCCCTACAGGCCCTTGTCCAAAGCCCCTCTCCAGGTCTCTTGCAGCCTCTTTGGGCACTGGAGTTGCTCTAAGGTCTCCCCTTAAGGAGCCTTCCTTTCTCCAGGCTGAACAAGCAGTATTCAGCTTCTCCTTTTAAAAAATAATTTTGCCCTTTTCTTGTCCTTGATGTCTAACACCTCCTCAAGTATTAAGCCACTAACAGACAGCTTGACAGCCCATTCTTTATATGTCTCAGGATGAACCTCATTGAGACTAGCCTTCTGCTTAAAAATCCGACTTATTTAAGTTGCTACTTACCAGAGTTGTGGGGAGGTGGTCTGGGACAGACCCTAACCAGTCTCCACAGGGCTCACATGACTTATGAGTGACCTGGCTGGGTTTGGTGTGTTCCCCAAATCCACACTAGCCCCTTAGCCACCTCAGCACTCTGCTGCAGGTCTGTGGAGGTGTCTTTGCTGCCATATGGTCATCACATCAAAAGCTGTAGACTCTTACTGCAGCACAAGGTTTTTGTGTCTGGTGGACTGGGGGAAGAAGGCAGGCAGAGAGATGAGGGTTCTACATCTGTGAGGTACGTTCTTCTGTCCCATTTTCATCCAGTTAACCAGCAGATTCCTGGTCATGCAGGTTTAGAGGTTTTAACAAGAGTATTTTCCTTGCATCTCCTATTTAGAAATGCAAACCAGAAAGAGAAGTCTGGTCACTACTTGCTTCTGCAATGTGGTCAGGAAACAGAATTTCACAAGCAACAGCTTTGATCATGCGCTCATCTGGGCTTTCACTTCCATTCATTGCATTCTTTTTCCTTGTGTGTTTCAAGGAGCTTTATGTGTTTATAAGTGACACCGACAGCGAGCTGAGCCCTCCTCTGCAGCCAGTGCCAGTGAGCTCCAGGGACAAGTGGGTGCAAGCTTGCTACTGCCATTGCAAACTACTCGCCTCCAACAGCAGCTTTATTTTAAAGAGTAATCCAAGCAGGGGCTAATTTGTCTTTTAATTAACTCTGTGCTCATTCCTCCTGCAGACAGTGTGCCTATGCTGCTGGGCAAAGTGAGGGGAAAGGGAGCTGCTGCTCTGGCATCCCTGGACCCTGCCCTCATGATGGGTGCTGTCTCCAGACTCGTCTTTGGGGACAACCATGAAGGCAAAGCATGGGGGGCTTCGAAGGGAAGCAGGAAGTGACCTGGTCTCTGGCCTTGTGTGTATTGTTACCTCTCCTTGTAGGAATGGGAGGAACATTCATTTCTGGAACTGTTGACTTAAGTGTGAAAATTCCCCAGAAGGGGTGAAAACATTGGGTTTATCATTATTTTAAGCATGAGAAAATGAATGGGTGGATGCTGGGAGCAGTATGGCAAACCACAAGGAGCTGTGACTTCTTGCAGTCCCCTCATGGGATGCTAATACGGGGGAGAGAGCCACTGTCCCATTTGAAAGAGAAGGGCCATAACCAATTGCTGTTAAATGTGGCAGTAATGCCTCAAGCCGTGGTTGACAGATAAAAGGCAGAGGCCGCCTGAACTGTAAAGATGTTTCATTTCCCTGGTAATGAGGGAGACCCACTGTGACAATGAAACAGAGGAGAGAGAGGCTGCAAGATGCTAATTTCTGTTCCTGCTGCCACTGCTGCTTTGATGTGAAGCAAATGCCCGTTTTGAATTGCAAACGGATGCAAGTCAGATATCATCCAGCCAGTGGCTTACAGGCTTAATGAAGTGGGATGAAGCTTTTGCTTGGTGATGTTAGGAGAGGCAGGCAATTCAGGGAGGAATTACTGAAGGTCTAAAGACACGGGAAGAAGGATGGGAAGGTTGCAGGGTAACTCTCACCGCCATCAGTGAGGCACAAAGTCCCCTGTTTTCTATCTTTGGGAAGCTGTGCCTAGGCTAAGCCCCTAGAGAAAGCTATGAACTTCCTGCCCCACTATTACACATCTATATTTTAAGGCATGCTTCCTATGCAGGTAACGCAAGGTCATCCTGCTCTTTGAAATCAGAGTGTGAACATCAATTTGGTTCATTCCCCAGGTGAGGCAAAGGTACAGGAGGATAAGTAGCTCATTTTGTGCTATCATTTGGGCATTTAATTGGTCTTGAGCAAGACAAAATTTATTACGCAACTGACAAGGCTGTTCTGGGGCAGACCCAGAGGCTCCTGGGAATGGGACCATTGAACCAGTGATCTGGGAGCCTGATAGCTCATGATGGACAGCCACATCTTCTCAAGAGTAAAGATCTGACCTGTTTTGAAGAATGAATGTCTAGCAGGATATTTATTACGTTTCTCACTAACACAAGGCCTAGCATCAGGCCAGAGTTTGTTGTGTATCTTGTGTGGATGTTCAGAGGCTTGGATGGCTCTGCAAGCTCTGTGCTAGACCAGCCGGATGTGGGAGGGCTGAGAGACCTGCAGGCAGCTGGGAAGATTGGCCTCTGCACCAAGCACGGCAGAAATGGTCTGGCTGTTGAAAAGGGTAGTTGTGGCTCGTAAACCTATTAGATTCTTTGAAGGAGTCAGTGTGTGTCTGGGTGAGAAAAAACAGATGAACGTAGTCTGTGTGGAGCCAAAAGAGTCTTCACAATGTCCGTCATCAAAGGGTCTTATGGAAACCAACTAACAATGGGATAAAACTGGCAAAAATTTTCATAGATAAACTATTTGTTAAAAATCTTTACGAAGAAGGTAAATAGTTCTGACAGAAAAGGGAAGTCACCAGTGAGGAGACGTATGCTGCTCAATGAACACACAAATGGTCTGGGAAAGAGGATGACTACTCAGCAAAGAAAGATAGTATAAGTTAGTCGAGGCATTAGGAACAAGGGCTGGCTCTGACAAAATACACAGGAATGTTATGAGACTGACTGATTGGGTAAAGAAAGAGCAGATAACATTGTCATCTCTAGGTGACTGTAAAGTGAAACATCCTTAAAACATCAGTCTCAGCTTCACATATAAAATGCTGGGCTCTGAGCTGACCATTATTGTTCAGAAGGAAGTGAGATGTGAGAATTGCCAGGTGTACGTAACATCTGCATGATGTTCAAAGCAACCAAGATAGCAAAGAAGAAGCTGTGGGTTATCAGGAAATGCAGATCAAAATAGATTGCATCATTTTGCTGTGGGACACAGAAGCTCGCTGGTAGGAGCCTCAAAACAAAATGAATGAAAAGGAGCAGGGTTCTCACACCACATGAAGTTAAGTTGGAAAGCAACTTTTTATGGGATGTTATGCTATAATTTTGTTTTTTTCCAGGGGGAAACAATAAAGGAGGGAATCTACTGAGCATTACCATGAAGTAGACATCTTACTAGTACTTGAGCTAGTAATTGGTGGAGTTTGGGGAA